CCCAAATCACAATTAAAAAAAAAAAAAAAAAAAAAAGACTGCCTCGGAAACCCAGTGGGGGTTGCTATGAGTTGGAATCAATTTGATGGCAGTAGGTTTTTTGAGTTGAGAAAGGAGAAGGGAAGGGGTCTTACAGACAGTCCAATAAAAACCTATTTTCCCAACCAGAGATGGAATCTATCAGGGTGATCTGTGGAACTCAGAGGGTTAAAATGAGAAGCCTAGGCTCTGCCCGACAGAGTCTCACTAAGTGTTTGGGTAAGAAATCAAAAAGTGGTAGTTTTACACAGCCATCTGCCTGGGTGATCCACATAAATGAACACTAAAACCAAAACCAAACACACTGCCGTTGTTGAGTCGATTCCAACTCATAGCAACCCACTTTGGGTTTCTGAGGCGGTAAATCTTTATGGAAGTAGATTGCCCAGTCTTCCTTCCAAGAAGTGGCTGGTGGGTTTGAATGGCCAACCTTCTGGTTAGCAGTCAAATGCCTTAGGCACTACACCACCAGAGCTCCTGAAGAAGAAATACTCCCAATTAAAAACAACCACAAAAAAAGCAAGTTTAAAGGACACACTGTAGGAAGAAGTTAATAGATCCCAGCAGGACACTCGAGGTGCCACCTCCCCAGAGTTACCAATGATCTTTTCCAGCCCTAGGGGCCAGCCTGGGACCTGCAGCCAAACCTTCAGGGCAAGTGCCTGAAAGCAGTCGGTTCTCTCCACCAAGGGGCCTGGCAATTGCTTCCATAGAAAGGACTGTGAAGCCAATTAAGGCCCAATGTCTAGAGTGACCACATATTTAGAATGAGCAGAATCCAACACTGTGAGTTCACTCTCCATCAGCTAGGGGTCTGAAACAGCAGAAGCTACATTTACGAAACTCGGAGTCTCCCTCCCAGTGCTGAGTGCTCCTATCAGCGCAGTCTGCAGCCAGCACCTTGTGAGCAGGAGCCAAGTCAGTGGTTTGATTTACTCTCCCAAACAGAGGAATGGACCCTCCTCACACCTTTTAAGAAAATAGTTTCTTTTTCCCCAGAATGGAAACAAGGCAAAGAATTCTAAAAGGTAGTTTATTTAGACCCAGGAAGATTTATTGAACACTCAGGGCCCTGGGCTCTCTGAGGCAGAGTACCTCTAGTGCCTCCCTGGGGAGCTCTGTGGCAGAAGCAGAGGAAGACTGGACAGAGGCAGTTCCCACACAGCAGGTCAGTGCAGGGGCAGGCCCCAGTGTGGGGGTTACGTGAGTCTAGAGGAGGGCACATGGTCCTGAGCTGGGGAAGCAAGGTTACTTCCCAGAAAACGTGAACTTGAGCTGAGACCTGAACAATGTACAGAATCTCTCTGAGAATAAGGTTAGCATACTTTGGTAAAAGCCAGGGACAAAGAGGGCTTGGCATCCCAGGGGACCCAGAGTAGTCTGTGTGGCCAGCCTGGGCCTCTGGGGGAACAGGGTGGGAGGTGGTAGTCAGGTAGGGCGAGTTCATTAGCTGTGTGCATCATCCAGGGAGATACACACAGACACATATACCCACATGCATATTCCCATATTTAACCATCTTAAATAGATGCTGCGGTAGTTAAGATTATGTGTCAACTTGGCTGGGCCTGGTTTTGAGGGGCTGGGCAGCTGGATATAGTATTCCCCATGATGGTAATCAATTCCCTGGTGGAATATGCTGTGAGCAGCTGAGTAGCTGCTTTAGGGAAGTGGTCTGCTCCCAGTCTATTAGGAGATTTAGGCATGGTCTGTAGCTTTATGGCACACTTGGACCCTGCATGTAGCTGAGTCTTCATTTAGCAGCCAAGCATGTTTCCTGCCAATCTTGGGATGATCTCTGGACTTGAATCAGTGGCCTGCCATGTGGTTTGATAATCTTGGGATTGTGCCCTTTTACTTGTCGACCTTGGGTTTGTCAGCCTTGACAGCCAGCAGCTGCCTGAGTGAAGAGAGAGCCTCTAGCTTCAGTGGGTTAGGACCAAGAGGCAGAGGTGAAGCCCAAGGTCGAGGGTTTTTCACCCAGCCCCCAGAGCCTGGCACTTTGAACTTAGACTTCTACACTCCAAAACTGTAAGAGAATAAACTCCTATTTGTTAAAGCCATCCCATCTGTGGTATCTTTCTGTTAAAGCAGCACGAAGTAACCAAAACAGATACATTGTTTTATTTGTGCGTGCACCATAGTTTAGCTATTGCCCTGTTGACGGGCACTTATTTCCAGGTTCCTCTACTGCAGACAACAACATGACAAGTAGCTGAGCACACACATCTCTAAGCATCTGTCTTTCTCATGCACACATTCCTTGAGGGAAAGGAGTTGGGTGAGTGGGCGGAATATTTTAAGAACCAACTGGTATTGTCAAATGATAAGATGACAAGTTGTGCAGCAGTTTCTACTCCTGGCATGGACAATGGACACATACTTTATTGAGTGTAACCGAGTGGTGATAGAGAGGGAAGTTTTGGGAGAAATGTAGCTTTTACTCACAATTCCAATTATGCTAACTCAGAAAACCTGAAACTTATTGGGCATCTAAAGTAAACAAGGAGTCCTTAGGTGACACACAATTAAACTGTTAACCAAAAGGCTGTAGGTTCAAGTCCACCCAGAGGAACATCAGAAGAAGGGCCTGGTGCTTTGCTTTCAAAAACATCATTTACTGAAAACCCTCTGGAGCATAAATCTATTCTGACATGGGGGTACCCTGAATTGGAGTCAACTTGAAAGCAAGTAGTTTCTTAAAGAAAACAAGCAGTGAGGTGGTTCTCATTATGGTACTTGCTTCACTATAATACCTTTTGCTTTCTGCCGGAAGACACCCCCCCCACACACAGTGCCTCTGGGAACCTTGCACTCACCCGTGTGCCGCTTGTAGTGCTTCAGCATGTTGACCTTCTGTGCGAATTTGCGGTGGCACTCCTTGCACTCATACTCCTTGATGCCCTTGTGCAGCTTCATGTGGTGGCGCAGCGCATGCTTCGTCTTCATGCCTTCCAGGACAGAAGTATGTCACAATGTGAGCTGGCATCCCCCACCAGAGTGACCCCAAGACTCTTGACCCTGCATCTCACCCTGGGATGCCCAGCACTGGGACGCCAGAACTCACTCAGACCCCACAACACCTAACCCCACAGCCCATGAAAGGTGCCCAGCTCGTTGACTCTGCGAGGCAGTTTTCAGGAAGTGCGGGGCTGATGGGGAGAAAGAGTGAGCGTGTGAAGGACTCATCTCCTGGACAGACTCCCATCTCCACCCATAACAAGACCCTGGGAACCCAATGCCCTTGGAGGCAGCTATAGATTTGTGGGTGAGATCTACAAGTGCTCCTCTCTGTAAGGCACTGAGGCCAACACATGGATGTATGTGCACAATGATAGTAGCTATCAGTAAACACATTTTACACTGTGACCCAATCAAATAACTTAATTCAAAATACTGATATGGAGAAGTTGACACAGGCTTCCTCTTGATTCTTGAAGACACATTAATTTATAAGTAAGAATAAGACCATTTGGCATAAGACACTCTGTGGTTTAAATGGATCCCTTAGGTGGTACTCAACTGCTAACCAAAAGACTGGAGGTTTGAGTCCATTCAGAGGTGCCTTTGAAGAAAGGCCTGGTGATCTACTTCCACAAAATCAGCCACTGAAAACCCCATGAAGTACAGCTCTTCTTCTGACACATATAGGGTCACCATGAGTTAGAGTGGACTCAACAGCAACTGGTGGTAACTGGCATGGTTTAAATGGTTTAATATTGATGTCCACTCTACCTTGAGTTAGGAGCCCTGATGGCACAGTGGTTAAAGCATTTGACTGCTAACAAAAAGGTTGGCAGTTCAAACCCACCAGCCATTCCACAGGAGAAAGATGAGGCAGTCTGCTTCTGTAAAGATTTACAGCCTTGGAAACCCTATGGGGAAGTTCTACTCTGTCTTATAGGCTCACTATGAATAGGAGCTCTGGTAGCATAGTGCCTAAGCCATTTGACTGCTAACCAGAAGGCTGGCGGTTCAAACCCACCAGCCACTCCTTGGAAGGAAGGCTGGGCAATCTACTTCTGTATTGATATTGCCTCGGAAACCCAAGGAGGGGTCACTATGAGTTAGGTCCAACTTGATGGCACATAACAACAACAACGAGTTGGAATTGACTTGATGGCGGTGGGTTTGGTTTTGATTTTGATCTTTAGTTTAATTTGACAAAACCAATCTTAAGGAGGTGAAAAAAGCTACAACCTTACTCAGACTAATAGAGAGGGTCGATGCTGGTTCAGGGTTTGGATTAGATGGTGAAGGAGTTTGAATGGAGCAGGAACGCCATCCAGGTGAGCCAGTGTTGCCTAGTGTGACGGCTATAGGAGGTTGTGGGTGAGGAGCACCTGGATGCAGGGTCAGTGGCTTGGGAGTTTACTCCTGGTGCGCACTGGCCCAGCTCACACATCCCAGGGAACAGTGCTCGTGATTCCCATGGGGACATTGGAGAGCAGCCCCATGGATTGCAAGAGGCCCTGCCAAGAGATAGAGGGCAGACCACTGCAGACCATCAGCAACCCTACTTTTACCCTGTGTGCAGTGGCCAGGGCAGCATCTCTGCACACTCACATCGTGCCTATTATCATCGTTACCCTAGTACTCATGGCAGGAGGAGAACTCTTGTGCTTGAAAACAGATGTTGCTTATACTGTGAGCAGCTCCTTTCCAACTCAATTTGCTCCGCTAGGTAACCTAGAAAACTCTCTGTCTTAGTTAATGTAGAGGTGAATTTCCACCAGCCCTTGCCAATCCTAAAACCTGGACCTGGTAAACCAGCCAGGGGGTACCTTATGTGACAAGCCACAAAAACATGACACTATTAAGCCAGTAGAGGGTGCTAGAGTCCTTGGCATGAAGTCCCTGTTGTCTTGTAAATATAGAAACAGACAGGTTCCTATGTAAGTGAGGGGAGTCCCTGGGTGGTGGAAACAGTTAATGCTCTTGGCTGCTAAGCAAAAGGTTGGAGGTTTGAGTTTACCCAGTGTGGCCTTGAAAGAAAGGCCTGGTGATCTGCTGCTGAAAATCCAGCCACTGAAAACCCTATGGAGCATAGTTCTACTCTGACACAGCGGGTGGTCATGAGCCACAGTGGACTTAGGAGCCACTGGGAAAAATGTTACTGGGCTGGGGAGGACACATGTGGGCCTATTACTAACTATGAAAGATATTTTTCCTGAAAAAGTAATCATTTTTAATCTTTCTGGTTAAAAATAACATGCATAGTGAAGGAAAAAAATGAGGCCATCAGAGGTCCTATTCACCAGAAGCTGCTGGCACACATTTATGTTCTCCCCTGTGCATAACTGGGCAGTTTTTTCTGCTCCCACGTTCCCTGCTGGCTCTACGGCCCATACCACTGAACTATGCAGCCACCTCTAGTTCCCAACTTGTCTTTCTGCTTCTGCTGTAAACTAATGTTCACTGCACCCAGTACAAACCCGACAACTGCATTATTTTCAACGGCTAAATACTACTCAGAAGTAAGGTCTGGCCATCTACTTCTAAAACTCAGCCCATGAAAACACTATGGTTCACAAAGGTCCAGTCTGCAACAGATCTTGGGGATGGTGCAGGCCCGGGCAGCGTTTCGTTCCCTGTACATGTGGTTGCCGTGAGTCAGGGGGCAACCTGATGGCAGCTAACAATAAAAACAAAACATACTATTCACAGTGTGCACCCATTTATTCAACATTGCCTGAGCACTACTACATGCTACTGGGTGGTTCAAGGTGCCACCACTGAACAGTGAACCACAGTCCCCAGCCTCCTTGGACTTCTGTGCTTTGTGGGGGAAGACAGGCAAACAATCACTTAGAGGTGTTAAGTCAAGAGGGTGATGAAGGAGAGTTGCAGGGATGGGATGCAGAGAGAGGAAGGGGACAAGGAAGTAGAGGGGCAGGATGCTGGTTCAGATGAGACGACAGGGTATCCCTGTTGACGAGGTATTTGAAGAAGTGACCTGGAAGAGCTTTGGCAGAGCTGAATCTTTAGGGAAAGAATTCCCTGCTGGAGGAACAGCCAATCCATAGGTCCTGAGGCCAAGTGTGAATTCAACTGATGAACTCTTACTGTATCCAATTGTTCTGTCACAGGCAATGCTATGGAGAACTAGCTCGGACATATCTTCACACACCATTCATATGTATTTATAAACAGGATATGAGTCCTGTTGCATTTGTTAGACAATGCCAATGGCCACTCCTGTCAATGTACTAATTTACACCCCAACCCAAAGCACTGGAGCAGGTCCCACCTCCAGGACCAGGTGTTACCCTAGACTCTGAATAGCATTCCCAGCAGCCCCATGAGGGTGGCTGATTTTTCAGAAGTAGATCACCAGGCTGTTCTTCCCAAGTGTCTCTGAGTAGACTAGAACCTCCCACCTTTTGGCTAGCAGACAAGTGCATTAACTATTTCCAACACCCAGGGTCATCATGAGTGGGAATCCACTCCATGGATTTTTATGAACGGTAAGGCTGGCATTTAGGTTCTAACCCTTTGTTCAAGCCAAGGTCACAGTCAGGTGGGTGATGAATTACATAGAGGGAGCTGGCCCTTATGGTATATGCCCCACACCAGCATTTTTCCCAGACGAGATTCTAGAATAAACGTGTTCTAAATTATCAAAGTACTACATGGTCGTAGAAAATACAGAAAAGAGACCAAAAAAGTTCACCCCACATCCTAACCACACCACTCACAACCAGTGATAGTGACTTGATATGTTTATTTCCATTAAAAAAAAAAAAAAAAAAACTGGAAATAGCTTTTAAATCCACAAATTACATGGTGTAAAGAGCTTAGAAGCATCAAGCCATTTTGACTAAGTTTGTCTCACATTTGCAAATTCCTTTGGAGAAAATTGATACATATATTTTTAATACTTAAAATATGCAAGTCTACAATGAGCATGCCCTTCTGTTTTTAAATGGTATTCTTTATGCACGTCTCATGGATGTCTCACTGAGATTATTCATATATATATGTCATAGTCCATGAAAGGATTCTGAACAAGATATTTTCTTGTATGGTGTCCCTGAATAATGCAAGCAGTTAGCTCAGCTGCTAACTGAAACGTTGGAGATCCGAGTCCACCCAGATGCCCCTCGGAAGGCCTGGTGGTCTACTTCCAAAAATCAGCCATTGAAAAGCCTATGGGACTGAGCTGGTAGTGCTCTGGGGGCTAAGTGTCTTGTGCAATGCACAAGGAGCTTGAAGTGAGGAATCCTGGCAGATGGAGGCACGTAGTGCAACTTCCAGCAAGGGAAGGGATGGCAGCAAGTTTTCGTGTGCTGAATGCTTTGCTCCTCCAAACCCTGGTGGTCAGACCTGCTTCTGTCTCAGCATTTCTCCAGGACTGGTCTACCCCAGGAGTGTAGCACATTCACTTGTCCCCCAGTCACTGTTCTGGTTCCAAAGGCTGCATCTCTCCACTTGACTGGTGAGAGGGTTGTCAAAGTGTTTCACTCCCAGCCTGCTTCCAGCTGCTTATTGAATCCTTGCTCTGCAATGAACAGGCAGCAGCCCTCACTCTCCACAGTCACTGAGGCCTTGGACAAGTTATCACTATGTCCATGGAGATGCATCACAGAAAGCTGCCACAGCAGGCCTCTTGGCACTCTCTGCTTTAACGGTTGCTGGTCTTTGTTATCTCACTTATCATGATGTAGGCACTGGCAAAGCTGTTGCCATGCTGTGGAAGCTCTAACTTTTTTGACTTAATAACTTAAAAAAATGATTGTACACCTTTTTGCATCTGCTCTATCATGCCATTCACCTGACACCAAGGAGGAAAGTACAGGTATGTCTGTCCATTGGCGAGACAACCCTCCTCTACTCACATAGTTACTTTCAGAAGTTAATCTTTGAAGAAAAAGTTTGAGAGGAATTATATTCACGAAATAGTGGGACTGAGTTCCATATCCTGGTGAGATAATGAGATTATCTCATAAAT